GCCTCGAACCAAATGCGCAGGCTGGTGTATATACAGATTTGGCGCTGCTCTTGAATTTCAATCGTGGCGCGACGTCTACTAGCGGACACTGCACTCTCTCCGGGGAGATTGGTTCACACCGCATGCATGCTTTTTTGGTTAGCTGGTGGCGTATCAGGACCACGGGCCTCCCGGGACGAGCAGGACGCGATTCCGATGTCGTAGCGGCAAGGATCAGCTTAGTCGTTGCTGTATCCGAACGGGTGCTGGCAGACGTTCCGAGCGAGGCAGGTCCCACCGAGCATGCTTCGGTCGGCGTTCCGGGGGAACGCGCCGATGTTGATTAGACCTGGGCCCCGAGAAGGGCCCGATCCATCGTGTTCACCGCAGGCGGTTCTGCGAACAATGCCGACGTCGAGAGCGCATGCCCGCGCGCACGTGCACTCCCATGAGGCTTCAGTGGACAATCAGGCCTCTTCCTCTCCCTCGTCTCTTTGTCACCTCTTCCCTCTTTGTTTGCGCGCTCCCGCCGTCTCTCTGTCTCTCTGTCTCTCTGTCTCTCTGTCTCTCTGTCTCTCTGCCTCTGCCTCTGCCTCTGTCTCTGTCTGCCTGTCTGCCTGTCTGCCTGTCTGCCTGTCTGTCTGTCTGCCTGTCTGTCTGCCTGCCTGTACGCTTTCACACTCCGACGCCGGCAGCGTGCCCGCCCTCCCGCAGACCCCAGAGGCACTATTTCCCCGAGGCTCGCGTCGCGAAGAAGCCACCGACGGAGGGCGTTTTGATGATGCTGATGATGCTACTGATGATGATGCTGATGCTGATGCTGATGCTGCTGCTGATGATGATGATATTGATAATGATGATGCTGATGCTGCTGCTGCTGATGATGATGATGAGGCTGGTGATGATGCTGCTGTTGATGATGATGATGCTGATGATGATGCTGCTGCTGATGATGATGCTGATTATCATGGTGATGATGCTGATGACGTTGACGATGATCATGATGATGCTTATGCTAATGATGCTGATAATGCTGATGATGCTGATGATGCTGATGATGATGATGATGTCGATGGCGATGATCATGATGATGACGACGATGATGATGATGATACTGATGATGATGTTGATGATGCTGATTGTGATGATGATGATGATGATGATGATGATGATGATGATGATGATGATGATGATGATGATGATGATGATGATGATGATGATGATGATGATGATGATGACTGATGATGATGATGCTGATGCTGATGCTGATGATGATGATGATGATGCTGATGATGATGATGATGATGATATGATGATGTGATGATGATGATGATGATGATGATGATGATGATGATGATGATGCGTTTTTGTCTTCTCTCGGCCTCCGGGACCCCCCAGCGCCCAATTTAGCCTGTCCGGGGGCCAGCAGGGCCTCCAGTCGAATCCGCTGGTAAAGAGGGGTACCCCTCCCAAGGGTACCCTTGCATCCTTGCCCCTTTCGAAGAAGAAACAACGCCATAAACAGAAACCTTCGGTACACTGTGCGGATTTCTTGGATGCGCGCTGGCCCCCTCCCGGCGGCGCCTCCGGCGCCGCCGCTGGCGCGCTCCGCACGCCAGGGAGAGGGGTCCAGCGCAGATCCAAACACTCCGCGCGGAGCGCCACAAGTTTCTGTGTATGCCGTTTTTTCTACCTCAGTTCCTTCCTATCAGGCGATCGCGAATTTGCATTACGGGGGCGTGGATTAGCGACGGGTCCCGCTTCCATGGGAAATCGCGGCTTCCCGCCGCCGAACGAGGCGGCACAGGTCGCACCTTGGGGAGGGCACCTCCCCCGATCCATGGATCTGGCGACTTCGCGCCAAAATCCATGGATCGCTGATCCATGCTTGCGCGTCCCCGATGCCAGCAGCCGTGGCTCGAGCCTGCCCAGTGGGGGGGGGGCCAGGAGGGACCAGCTCCGGGTGAGCGGCTGGCCGCCGGGCGGCGAGCGCTCGCGCCGCCCCCCCCGGGGGTCCACGCCCTGGGAGGAAAAACCGCGACGCCGCGGGCCGGGGCCCCTTTCCCCCCCCCCCCCCCTGCCTCCTCCCTGCCTGCCTTCGGCCTTCGTCCCTCGTGGCCCCCCCTGCCCTCGCCCTTCGTTGCCCACGCCGGCCTCTCCTTCCTCGCTCGTGCTTCCCCCCTTCCTCGCCCTCCTCTCTCCTCCTGTTAGATCGCTGGCGCAGTTTTCAGCCGCGGGCCCGGCGCAGGCCACCCAGTCCTGCAGGTGCCACACGCCTCGGCGGCCAGTCTCGAGGCGGCCTCTCCCGCCACTCCCCTCCCCTTCCCTTCCCTTCCCTTTCTCTTCTCTGCTGTCCTCCCTTCCCTTCTCCACCCTCCCTCCTGTCGTCTCCTGTCATGGGGCGCTTCGATTCTTCGATCCCCACTTGAAGCGAATGGGGCAGGTTGGCTCAGGCATTTGACGGCCTTCAATTGTTTTTGTCTCTTCGCCCTCAGAGGACTTTCGGGTGAATCAGGGCTGCCCGATGCGGGAGGGTAGACGAGGGGGGGAGGGAGGGAGCTGAGGGAGAGGAGGGCGGGAGGGGATGGGACGGATGGGGGGATGAGGAGGGGACGGGGTGAGGGAGTGGCCGCCAGGGAGTGGCCGTCGCCTTCAGAACACGCCGCTTCTAGCCGTTCTAGTAGGCGGCCTCGATCACCTTGAGCACTAGACGCGCCCGCTGCGGAGAGAGCGTGCCCGCACCTTCAGACTGCGCTTCACTTCATCCCCCTCCTCCGCTCTTCCATCTCCTTGGTACTTCTCTACGCTGATGCTCGTCACGTTTGGATGGGAGCTATGCTGACTACGCTTGGCTCTCACTCGAAGTTCAAAGGGCGCGCCACTCGTTCATCAGTTTCTTATTCTGCTGCTCCTGCTCCTTCTCCTCGCCTCTGATGGTTGCGTCGCTGGCTGCCAAGTGTCGCCCTAAGACCGCTATCAGCAAACATAACTTGAGGCGCTTAGATTTAGTTAAGTGGCCCACCCCAATGGTATGCCCAAAGCGGTGCTGGACGCACTCGCTTGGACGGAAGGGTGTCGGGCCTGTGCTCGTGCTGCCGCCGCCGCTGCTGCCAGCAGGCCTGAGAGGGATTGCGAGAGCCGGCAGGGTGAGCACGGGCAGGATGAGACAGAGTGAGAGTGTTGTACAAAGCACGACTGGTGCTTGTCAGGGTGTTACCAGGATGCTCCTCCTCCCCCCACCCCCGTGTCCATTCTGCAGCCAGCCCTCTTTCTGGGCGCTTGCTGCTGCTGCTGCCCCTCATGCTCCTTGTATCCCCTCATCAGTACCAGAGCAGCCGTTTGACTCCACAGTGCACTCATCGGAATAGTGCTCTCAGCGGCGCAGGGTGCGAGGTGCACGCGACCCGAGGTTGCTCGCACGCCGCACTCGCGCCCGGGCGTTGGCTCCGCCGAGGCGCCCCTGAGGAGGCTCTCGCGCGGCGAAGAGCCTCGCCTGGTGCTCCGGGTGACCCCCCTCCTCCTCCTCCTCCTCCTCCTCCTCCTCCTCCTCCTCCTCCTCTCCTCCTCCTCCTCCTCCTCCTCTCCTCCTCCTCCTCCTCCTCCTCCTCCTCCTCCTCCTCCTCCTCCTCCTCCTCCCCTCTCGAGGCAAGGCAAACGTGGCTCCAGGCGCGCGGATCATCGACGGATCCTGCTTCCGCTCGAGACCGACGCGCTCCGCCGCCGGACCACTGGGCGGCACCGGCGCCAGGCTTCGGGGGGCGCCTCCCCCGAGGCGCAGGTCCGGCGCCCACGCGCCAGATCCGCGGATCCCCAGTTCGTGCTCGCGTGCGCCGGATCCTCCTCCTCCCGGTTCCCGTGTCCGGCCGGCCTGCGCGGCTGGCGTGGCTCGAGGCACGCGCGGCGGCGAAGGCTGCCGTGCCATTTCCCCTCCGCAATAGCCGCGAGCGCGGGCGCGCGAGAGCGGGAGTCGCTCGGAGGCACGCTTTCGGTGGTGCTCGAAGCCCGCAGCGGCCAGCAGTGCGCACTGTCGGGCGGGCACTCCCGCGCGCGGCCTCTGACCGTGCGCTTCCAGCCCCACAGCGCTGAGGAAGCAGACCCGTTGGCATCGCTTGGGCGTGCGCGCAGGTTTTCTCGGCGAGGGCCATCGAAGAGCGTCCTGGACCATCGAGCAAAACAGCTCAGGAGGGGAAACAACGCACATGCACAATTCAGCGTCGACTCCCAGGATGATGTGCGGGAACATGTGGGAAGCGGGGGGGGGGGAAGACGAAGAGCCAGAAGACATGTGAAAATCGTGGGGATCCTGGGATTTGGGAGACCACCCCCTGCGCACCCCCTCTGGCGTCGAGAAATTGCCGCGCCTGCTAGGCTTTTCGACAGTGTCGTGGATAGCGGCCGCGGTGAGAGACCACCCCCTGCGCACCCCCTCTGGCAATTGTCCGGGAAACGGGCGTCCTTGAGCGACGGCAGGGGACCGCGCATTGCCCTCCTGGGCTCCTTGGGGCTGCCGGGGCAGCAGGAGCAGCACCCTCCGCGGCGGGCGGCCTCCTCCTCCTCCTCCCTCCTCCTCCTCCTCCTCCTCCTCCTCCTCTTCTCCTCTCCTCCTCCTCTCCTCCTCCTCCTCCCTCCTCCTTCTTCTCCCTCCTCCGCTTCCTCCTTCTTCTCCTCCTCCTCCTCCTCCTCCCTCCTCCTCCTCCTCCTCCTCCTCCTCCTCCTCCGCCTCAGCCGCTTCAGGAGTCACCCCTTTCCGCGCGCGGCATCCACACACACACTGTACCATGACCTGACACACTTCGTCAATCTCTGGGCCCACCCAGAGCTCATCGGGGCGAGGAGCCGGGGGCCCGCGCTCGCCTACAGGGGCCCGTGGTGTCATCCTTTGTCAGAGGCGCGTTGTGCAGGCCGTTGTCTGTGACTGAAGTTGGCCGGACACAACAGATACAGTCAACGCTCCTAGTAAGGACGCAAACCTTCATCTAGGGTACCCTTGAGTCCTTGCCTCTACGGCCCGTTCTTCGCCA